TTTGGATTTGCGTCAGGAGCCGGCTCCGTTTGTATTTGCTTCAGGAGTCGGCTCCGTTTAATAAGGTGTTGACGTGTAATACCCGATAAATAGATCTTGTGCCTTGCTGGTTAATCAAAATTCGACTTAAGTGATAACGTCACTTTCCGAGGCCAGTGGTTTGAGAAGGGTAGAGGTGGTTCATACGCGCTTTCACCTTCACGCACTCCCGCCTATGCTCTGATGTGGCGTTTGAACGTCTGTGTGACATCACGGCGGGCCAACCGAGTTGTTTGGACACGAACAGAAGGGAAATGTCCCGATATTTGTGAGTTTGATGCAAAGATGATATCCCCACCGGTTCGAAGGCAAGGCTCTGGGTAACAAGGCCTCAGTTCAACACGCGTTTTCATTATACCGTCCGGTCGTTCATCGAGCCGGACATCATAGCAGTAGATATATAATGCCGTAACATTGTATATCTGGGTGTGATGCCATTGATCAAAATGGGCTTTTGCTGCACTGAGGCAGCCTTTTTAAAGGAGGCTGCCATGCAGAATTAGCCCGTTATAGGATCTGGTTGAAATAAATGCTTTTCCCTACAAAACATGTTATTTTTACAATAGGAGACCCGGCTAACACCACTGGGTTATTATTTTAACCGCCAATTGTTATTTTTATACACATAATACCGCACCTATAATATACCTCTGTAACACTTCTAAACGACGAAAACCGTGCATGACGATAGGAATTGCCTTATACCACGCTTTTGTGAACTTACAGAAAGCATCAGCATCGAACCCTTGGGAGATGTGGTATCGTATTTCATTCTATCGTTTGGCAACGCTGCGCTGCCCTCTTCCCATTCTGGTATGTCGGGGGAGTGCCTTCTTCCCCCGATGCTGGACATTTAATGCATCTCCGCGTAAAATCTGGTTTGCTTAGCTACTCCAGCTTTGATAAGACTGGGTTGCCTGGCTGCTGCAGTTCGGCAACATTGATCGCCAAATCGCGTGGAGATTTTAGGTATACCCGTAAAATCGGCGAAGCAATTCCGGCTCATCAGGCCTGAAGTATTTGAGTCAAAAGCAGCCATTTGTCAACATAATATTTCCATCTTTAAAACACACTTTCATGCATCGCCTCGCTTCTCTACCAAAGCAAGTTCTGACAAGCTGGTTCCCGGTGCTTTCGGTCAAGAACCCTGGCGAGATTTATTGAGTTCCCGCAATCCCGGCATGAGTAGGCTGCATCGACCGTGTCAACAAACGATATAACACGTGCAGGAAAAGCCTCCCTGATCTTGTCACCAATGCGTTGTCAAAAATTGTAAAGCATCATAAAGTTTGCATTTTGTTTAGTTGCAGTCTGTAAATGGTGCTCTTTGGACTCTTCTGATATTGCCAAGAACTACCGTTGGCACGTGCGGCAGTACATTGATACATGAGGGCAGCAGTCGGCCCAGGCTCCAGGCCGCTGCTCGAGCCTCGGCCGGGCCCAGTTCTGGGTCCGACGGTCGCGCACTGTCAGGCGTCACGTGACGCTTCGGGCCACCGTGACGGCCGCGGGGCATCGGCGGCGGGCAGCCGATCAGCGGCGATGGCCCGGCCAACGTCCGTGCTGACGCGTGGGGGGGGGGGGGGGGGGCGGCCTTCAGTGATCTCACAGCAGATAAGACAGTACTAATAGCCTTATTATTCGGAGAAAACCAGGAGCATGGAAATATAGATGGGCATCTTGTGGTTTCTGCCGGAGGAATAAGGCTATTACTACTATCTATTTGAATAACGTTCCTCGCAAATGCACTGAACAACTTGCGTGATCTCACAGCAGTGTGATGCCTGAGGTCACGAACCGGCGGGAGCGCGACGGCTCTCAGTTATGCCGGGCGGCGGCGCTCCGGCAGCGCCGGCTCACTCAGGTTCACACCTGGTGAATGGGGTGACCATGCCATCAGGCGCGGCCCGTCAACTCCGGCAGGCGACTTGGTGACGGCGACCCGTCAACTCCGGCAGGTGACTTGGTGACGGCGACCCGTCAACTCCGGGAGGTGACTTGGTGACGGCGACCGTCACAGAGTCTCCGCGAAGGCGCGGGCCGCGCGGCGGCGCGCGCATGGCAGCGGCGGCCACAGGTCCAGGTCGTGTCGGCTGGTGCCTGCGTGACGGCTTCCACAGTGGTGCTGCCCGTCAGACCGAAGCCGCGCCGGACGGCTGCCGGGCGCCGGTGGAACACTTAACGGCCAGACGCAGCTGTATTTCGTCGGTACGCCGCGACGATTTTTAGACAGCTGTCTTCGCACATATTATTTAAAGCTAGTGCAGAGTTTGCCGCCGGGCACATTTCAGTGCCTACTTAAAAAACGACTTCGGCGTCTTTCTCTGACTAGCAGGAACAGTGCAAAATATGCTTGTAAAGTGGTTCAGAGGCACAAGACCAGGAAACGAAGACCACCAAGACAGTCATCGCCGCCAGTTTCGTCATCCTGTGGGCACGTTCCCCATCCACGGTACAGTCGCTTCGGGCACATCCGCCGCTGCCAGCAGCACGCTGGCAGCCGGACATGCCCCACTGGAAGTGGTTCGCCCCGGCTCAGTGGCGCTGCGCTACTGGAAATGATGGGCCGGTGTTTGGGTCGAGCGGATCGCCGGCTCGACGACGGCGCTGCCCGTGCGCCGCACCAGCAATGCTGGGCAAACGAACTGCGTCGTGAGGAGGAGGACAGCACCTCCGGCCCTGGCGTCACATCCGGGGCTCAGTGGCGCCTTACTGCAGGCTATACGTCATACGCATGTTCCTGCTGGCAAAGTCCAGTCGCCAGGTAATTACGGAAGACGCGGTCGGGTTCCAACAGAGGCTTTGTTACCACGCGACCTGGCATTGTTTGCTGAACTGCGGCATGGCATGACATGGTACATGTAAAGTACGCAGTGTTTGTGTTAAAGTGACAAAATCGCAAACACATTCAATGATTTGATCCGACCCCTTTGAATGGATGGATTTCTGGGGTCAGAGCTGACGCTAAGAATTGATTGTTGTGTGGGCTTCGACCTCTACCATCCAATCATACAATGCCAGGTCAGTGGTAGAATGTGGTGGCGGACGTTTAAAGTGTCGGAAATCTGGGGATGGTTCAGCCGACCCGTGACATCACCTGACCCTTTAGCGCGGCCATTGCCACCGGCCGCAAGCCATCTACCCGTCAAGGACAAAAAGTAAGCGCCTAAAGCGACTCACCCCCCCCCCCTGGCCACCGGTGAAAACATCGAAAAGAAGGCGCTCTAGTCAACTAGGCCTTTTGGGCTGATGTTAATCAGGATCTGAAACCTCCCTAGCATTGCATGAGTTCCTTCACACCACCGGACACAGCGAAATGGAAGCCGCAGGTCAGACTATAAAAGTGAACACGGAATTTTCATAAAAGGAAGAAGGGGTCCCACAGGACACCCCCACCGGCGTGGCAGTTCTCTCCGTGGATTATCATGATTATCATGAAGCCGTGAAAGAAATTATTTCTCGAGTGATTTCTCTCTTCCGCTGGTGAGAACGGTCTGAACTGCTGACCTGAACTGGCCCGATCGAGTGCCTACCGGTGCACTGGCGCCTACAGTCGAGCTCCTCCCGTCGGAGAGAACGTCAGCCAAACCTGTTGCGCAATCCGATGCCGTTCCAGCACAGCGACAAGGCGGCCGGCCACACGGCCCGTGCATTGATCGCTGCGAGATGCGTGACCGCGGCTACTACGCAACATAATGGTCTCCACTTGGGCGCACCACGCACCAAGCCACGTGCATCCCTAGCAACTGGAGGGCGGTTCTCTCGCCAATGTCTTCCAGGGACACGTGCGCTGGATGTACGCGTCAGTGGTCCGAGACTGAGCAAGTACTCTCCTCAGCCTAACCATCTGTTTCGATTAAAAATGCACAGGAAAAGTTACCTTTGACGAAAGCGTACCATGTAGACAAGTTCCGATGTGTTCGCTCTGTATTTCCAACCGGAAGTGACTTGGACACAAAGGGCTGGGATTGATCAGACAGCGCGATAAAGAGGGGCGTGAATATACCGTATGCAAAGGAGACAAACGCATGATGAAATAGAGTATATTGCGAGTATATTGCGTGACAACGCAATTTCAATCCTGGAGAGCAATCACCGTTCTGCTTTGGTCACATCGCGTGGCGTGCAGTTGAGCGCATGCTTGCATGACTCATCGGCCCTTTTCAAACGTAATTTTGCAGTTCGCACCAGACGACCGTCTTTTATTGGCACTACTGATGCAACAACATCAGCACTGCGAAGCCCAGTGCTGCATTCATGCTGGTAAATGCCAAATTCCTTTCTGAAGGATGAACTACGGAAAGGCTGCGATACGTCCTGCTATTGACTTTTGTACGCGGCAGGTCATGTTGCGCATATCTTAAAAAACATCGTCATTTTGAGACTTCCTATACTGTCCAGCATGCACCATTGTAGCCACGCCTATAAAGGAAGCCAGTGGACTGTACAACAGATGCATGCAGAATAATCGGCGCAGACAAGCAAGCTTACATCGCTAGCCACTTTACCACTGATTGATGGTGACATGATTCTCGCAGTATCGAAGATAAATGAGCGGCATGGGGGACACGGTTTTACTGATTGTTTGAGGTCATGTTTTGGTTTTACCGATAGTCGTGATAAGTAATGTGCATGAAGATCATTTCCGCCTTTGCTTCGCTTGCTACAGAAACCAGAAGTACTTGACAATTCCGACGCTGAGAAATAATGTAAAACATCATCTGGTGTCGGTCGTCAACCGGTGATGTTGGCGTGATAGTGGGCTCCAACCAGCCAGCGCCCCTGTACCCTGCAAAAACAGCCGCACGGGAACACCGAGCAACATCATAAATAATCCACGATGCTTGAACAATGTAACGGTAATGAAATCATACGGGCCATCACAACGAACGTTTGCCATGTCTCGCCCGCTGATGGCCAATCCTACAGCACTCGAAGCCCAGGCGTTTTGGTGGTGCGCCAGCTATCATCGCCCATTTGTACTATCCGTCTGAGCGAGCAGTACCCGTGCTTGTCTGCTACCGACCCGAGGTTTCGTCTTGGCGTGAGCACAGTAGCCGGGCGGAGGCTCAGTAGCCGTAGGGACAGTCACGCTGGTTCGTTGTCTTCAGCTTGCTCGTCTTCAGGCCGTAGTACTCGAGCCTGTTCTTGACGTCCTTGATCATGTACGCGTCCGGGTGTCGCTTGCGCGTCAGGATCCGCAGGAACTGTGTGTTGAAAAGCTTGTAGTCTTTGCAGGACCAGACGACGGCGTAGTTGTGGTAGTCGGTCTCCAGCACGTTGTAGTTGGCGCCATTACCGAAGTTGGGTGTATTGCTGAACACAACGCGGAGTCGCGCCGACTGGTGCGGGTCCACCACGCGCGCCACGCCCACGATGCTGTTCATCTTGCCCGTCAGCACTTTGATCTGCTGGTTCTCGACCCCGATGCGGCCGTAGCCCTGATCTGTGTAAATGGAGTGCACGCACTTGCCGCCCAGGTCGAAGAAGGTGAAGAACTTCTCATGTTCGTACCAAGTACCCAGGTAGGGGTGCACCTGGAAGTGCTTCAAGATGGGCGGTCGGGGACAGCGGCCGATGAAGGGCAGCTGCGCATCGGCGGCGTCCAGCAGCACCAGCACCAGCACCAGCACCAGCACCAGTGGGCCTCGCAGTAGCGGCATGGCCTCACAGTCACTATGTCGGCCCGTCTCGCCGGAGCGTGCGGTCCGAGTCGGCGGCGAACGGTGGTGCGTCTGTGCCGCTTCGCCGCCCTCGAACCGATATGTAGCGGCTGGCGCGGGTCGGCCCGCGTCGCCGGAGCTCTGTCGCCCCGCTGGAGCGCCGCCTGCGAGCGCAGCTCGGGACCGCGCCACGGGTGAACCCCTGTTGACGGTCGGAGAAGTGCAGCCGTCGCAGCCTCTGCTGGCGGTCGGAGAAGTGCAGCCGTCGCAGCCTCTGTTGACGGTCGGAGAAGTGCAGCCGTCGCAGCCTCTGTTGACGGTCGGAGAAGTGCAGCCGTCGCAGCCTCTGCTGACGGTCGGAGAAGTGCAGCCGTCGCAGCCTCTGTTGACGGTCGGAGAAGTGCAGCCGTCGCAGCCTGGCAGAGTCGTGAAGATTGCGTGACCTCTCTCCTTAACGATGTGGACAGATCAGCTGTTTACTGGCCAGAGGCTCAGTCTAGCCCCGGAAAGCACGTGTCGTAGCACCTCGTGGTAAGCAAAACTTTTCGAAATCCTGTGTTGAAATGGCCGCAGGAAAAACTATTTCTATAACTCAGATCGGTCTACTTTGGTTAGTGAATTGAGGCTGCGCACAGCAAGCATCGCTTACCAAGCGCTCTGGACTGAAAGCCACCTATGCAAGTCACTCAAAGTAACTGGTATAGGGCATCGGCGGCGTTTTTATCTCTTGGGCCTTGCAAGAGATGTTTGGTTTTCAAGCGTTGAGTCAGGGGCGGCGTCACTAAATTTTGATGAAGGGGGAGAAAAAAAATCAAAGAGACACTTGAATAAAACAAAACTAGGTGAGAAATCGTGTGTTTTGAGCTGGTATTCTTGCGAATGATCATTGTCATGACAACTTTATCATGCACCTTGCGCTGCACCATCGTAAGGCTTGGGGACATGGAAACGGAGGATGGGATGGGTCTTTTGAGGTCGACAGCTCACTGGAAGCTTAGCATTGGTCCTGTGAGCTTTGACGTTCGAGAAAAAAATAACCTAAAAGGCTATCGCACCTCTCCCTCCAAACGTGGAAGGAAGTCCGTTGTCCCATGCCGGCGGAAAAAGCCAACCGCAGTTTCGTAGTGTTCTCATTACAGTGCGTGTTGTCATCTAGACCATTTGGCCAAAAAGCATCAGTGCATCTATAAAGGTGTGCGTGTACAGTGGCCAAAGCTTCACAGAAAGATAGTTCATGCTTTTACCTCGCAGCTACCCTACGGGTTGGGCGCCCATTCCGAAGTGTGTTTTTTCCTCATGAAAAAAACAACAACAGAGAGTAAATCTGACTATTTTTTGCGGTGGCGATAAAAATGTTTCAGTGATACGCTGCTTCAGGATCACATAATTCACATGCTGTTTATGCACCACCACCATTTATGGCGCGGCCACAGCGAAACATTCCCTGTCGTGATCCGTTAAAATTGGCACGGCGAAACATTCCCTGTCGTGATCCGTTAAAATTGGCAAAAGCGACTGCGGCATGTGTTGGATCCGCTCGACCCAAGCGAAGGCGCTGCACGTGAAACTCTGCCTAATAAAAGCAAGTGTTCAGCGAGTACCGTGCGCTGAAACTGCATTCAGCTGTGGCTGAACTGGCGGGCAGCATCTTCAAGATCAGATTAACATGGTCAAGTTTGACCAGTTAAGGAGTGGGGTTCCGCGTATTGTGTCTCACATCACGTAAAGCGGACAGGGTGGTTGTGGGTGTGGGGAGGGTATTCTTGCCCTCATTTAGGGTGGTTGTCTCCTACCCCTCTGGTGGCGCTAAACCTGGTTGCCTCTGCATGGTTGGTATACGCATCTTTTACGCAACGAGGAATAAGAATGTTGCGATCTTGAACAGAGGGAAGAAATAAATAAAAGAAAGTCTCTTCGGTCACATAAGTGATTGGAACTTGAAGCAACAAGTTGCATATTTCTCATGTAGAATGATTAAAAGCCCGTGCCCCAAATGATGGGGACATTTGTGACCACCTTGAAGACTTTTTAGTACTTCGCCGTGAAAACTAAACGACACAGTGTCCGCAAATGCATGCACAGCATTACCAGTTTCCCAGGTACGAAGCCACAATTTTTATCACGGCGTTAAATGTTAAATACCCTCCAAAATCCTCACGAACTTGGACCAATGTCCCGCAGAATCGCCTAGTACTTAGTGTGAGCCTCTGGGCTCAGGGGTTATGTTTCCTTTGGCACCATGTTTGTCTATATCCCAGAATTCCTTGAATATTTTGCACCTTGTTGGCAACTTCAAACATCATTGGGGGTTAGGTCATTGACATGGGTGCGGTCAAGTGACGTAACTTCAGACGAGAAGCACTTTTTACTTTCAATTCTTTAAGTTTTAGTTTTACTTACTTTTAGTTTTACTGGCTTGAAGAGGTTGCGGCGATTGAAAGATGCAATGCGTATAATCAATGTATTTGTTTGCAACGAAGCAAAGCCATGGGCCCAGTGTCTCAGGAGTAACGCTCTAAGCCACGGGCCTGGTGTCTCAGGAGTAACGCTCTAAGCCATGGGCCCAGTGTCTCAGGAGTAACGCTCTAAGCCATGGGCCCAGTGTCTCAGGAGTAACGCTCTAAGCCACGGGCTCGGTGTCTCAGGAGTAACGCTCTAAGCCATGGGGCCGGTGTCTCAGGGGTAACGCTCTAAGGCTGATTCCCGCCAGTCCGGTCAGTCCCTGCCAAAATACTCACTGGAAACTATTCCGTTACATGCTAGAGAAGACACCATAAACTGCTCAAGCTTAATACGCGACCGGGGGCCGGTTGGACACCCTTCGCTCGGGCGGGGATTAATTTGGCCTCCAGAGATCTCAGGAACTTAGGGAGTTAGAGACCCCAAATTCAGAGTGCGTTAGCTATACACGTGGATTCACTTAAGTCGAAATTTGTGGTTCTTAGATCATGATCTTCGGGGTAAATGTTAGACAACGTCAAACTTCAAGCTGGTCTCATAAGTGTCCCCAGAACCTAGATACTTTCTATGAGAAAAAGTCACATGCCAATTTAAGGTCAGCGACATTTGTTGACCTTTCAAAGGTCATGGCGACCAAACCCGTGCAGGACTGCTTTGAGTTTTTGGACAAGCGACAAGATTTCGCTGGGCAGTGCTCTCCTGGATGTAAAACGTTGACCTGTGTTATTGTAGATCAGTGACCTATTCTGACCTTTAGGAAGTCCATGAGAGATTATAATGCGGTTCCTGTTATGGGTGAATTTGAAATTAGCACCCGAAACTACCTCATTCAATAAGCCATAGAGAAACACAATAGATTGGCTTTCGCCTTGGTGTGACCTTCATACCTATCCCTAGGTCAATGGAAGTTGTTCACTTTATTATTGTGTTTTCTAAGAAACTTTGCTCAAATAGACCATGCTTGCACCATAATCATCCCCAAAACAAATCTGGTTTGAACATTGATCAGAATATTCTCATTAAGATAGGACTAAGCACACAAATCTGCCCATCGAAACACAACAGCGAAAACGACAATCCGACCCATTCAGAACCCCGCAAAACCCAACAATCTCCGCCAGTTTGTGCGTAAACAGTGGCCGTACCAGTAGTAGTTCTGATCAGTAGCGAGGAAGTAAAAAGCATGACATGCAGACTAACTGAAAATGGCTGTTGGCCAGTCGGCATCTGCCTCGGTGGCAGCGTCCTCCACGTCCGTGCCGATCCCAGGCAGTCTACTGCACGACGGTCTGCAGCCAAATAGTTCGCGGAGCTGGCGCCAGTGGGGCGACTCGTGGCGACGTTCGCCACTTCTGCGATTTTTGATGGCTGCTGCCTCAAAACCTCCATGCAATTTTCGAAGCTTCAACTTGATTTGCTGCTTTCTGAAAACATAGGTAATTATATATAGACTCTTGCGTTGTTATTGCACCTAATCAGGGCTGTTGATAATTCTGATTGTTCAACATGATACCATGCCATATCATGCATATTGCCCCACATCACAAAAGCATATCCTTGACCAGGTCATGATGAATGACAATGCGTATGATGTCAGACCAAAGGACCATTAACTGTTACGCAAACCATGCACAGTGTTACACGGTTTTATACATGTTCGAACAGCTTGGATGCAGTGTTGGAAATTCCAAAAAAATCCTGATAGCGGAGTACGAATGTTCTACAGTGCTATTGTACTCCGTACTTGTATATATACTACTTGTAATTTTATTTAGGTTATCTTTGAGAGATAACAATGTACAATGGTGACAATATGGTACAAAGTACAATGTATGTACAATGGGCAATACTCAACAAAAGTGCCACTTTTCATAAACAGCAATCCATGTAAAAACACTTAACATGAAAGGAAACGTCAGTATTAAACATGGCACACTGAAACAACACGGTCTCAGACTCTGTACTACGCCACACAGGTGCATATATATGGCTTTGCAATTTACGACAGGCTGTGCGTACGCACCCTCCAAAACGGCGGATGGTTACGCACCGGGCTTACACACCCTCCAAAATGGAGGGCGGCTTCGCAGCGGGCTTACACAAACTCCGACATGGTCGGTGGCTACGAAACGCACAGTCTGAAAAAAAATGGTACAACAAAAATGCAAATGAACGCGCCACAGACGGCCACCTACTTATGCTCCCCACGATCACGCTACTCACGCTTCACCACGGTAACGCCACTCACGCTCCACCAGCTGACTGGCTTTAAAAACAGCTAAACACTCATGCCTTCTCCTTCCCGGACAACACACGAGGCCCGCACGTCCCAGCCGAATAATAGATACAGGCAGCACTCTCAACCGATTTACCGAACCAGCACAAGTACAATGCCTAACAGACCTGTGTAGGCGCGCCAAAAGGGATCGGAGTCAGTCACTCCTCTGACTCCGGCGGATAATGCAAGGTATTTATGGATTTCGATGCCCTTTAACCGATATCATTGCGGAAGATGATAATTCAGGTCGCAATAAATTGATGTTTTTGTCCTAATAAACCCCTCCTTAATTTGCCGG